ATAGATAGATAGATAGATAGATAGATATAGATAGATAGATAGATAGAGATATAGATATATTAGATAGATATATATAGATCTATCTATCTACCTATCTATCTATAGAGAGAGTGCTCTACCACCATAAAAACTGTGTAAGATGAGAATTCAACCTTCCTGCAGTTCTGCTATTCTTACAATTAGGTCCTGCCCAAGGTTTTCAACTCTGTTTTCCTTTTGGCCATAAGACATAAGGGTGGTTGGATATAGCCTCAGAGGCCATATGATTTTCACACTTCGCTTTGAATTGGTGATTGTTTGCCCCTGTTACTTTCTGTCTTCAAAACACCACTGGCACTTAGCAACAGCGACCCAAACCCATAGACCTCATAATTATACTTTCCCTATTCTTCTCAGCTATCAGAGATTCTGTAAAAGCCAATCATCCCTTTTGTGGATCTTATTCCAATTCACTATACATGAATATTCTAGCCACTGGAATGCTACAACATGCAAGGTTCTTTCAATACTGCACCTACAACCAGTGATGTGATCCATATGGCTAATCAATCAGAAAGTAATCCTTAATTACTTAACTCCATAATCCCATCCTTAAGGGTCTGCTTCTTAATTTCTGTTGATGGTAACTCTTGGGTAATGTTTGCTAAAGCCCATGTCTGGGATTTGATGCACATGATTTTGGGGGGAATTGGGAAAATAACCAACAAAGATAATGATGGAAGCAGAAGACAAAGAGCAAAGGAAGGGGGTGAACAAGGATGTGGTGGCAAGAGTCTTGCTTCCACCTGGATCCTTGGTATAGAACATGAAGTGCATCAAACGTGATCTAACCTTGAAGCAAGAGAGTCGATCTTTTGTTATCTTCGTGTCACTTAGTCAAAGTATAGGGTTATCTCCCGCCTCCTAAGTGTGGAGACTTCCTTATAGCCAAAACTATATTATTCAAAAGGTGTCATTTAAAAAAAAATGTGTTAGTACAGATTAGGGCTCTGGGAACTCAGGTGATTAAAACAGTGCCTGTAGTGATAATGATACCTACCAATTTTGATTATTCCTGTGGAAAATGTTATTATAAAATTGTTTTATAAAAAATAAAGCAGGAAATCATGTAAAATATCTTGAGTATGTGTTACATAAAATGTGTATAAGTGCTCAAATTACTATTAGTTATTTGGTTATTCTCTCTTCCTAAAATTTATATATTTAAGTAGGACGTCAACTAATTATTTACTTGGTTGAAACTGTTATTTGAAAGAAATCTATTAGTGAACTAAATTAAACAGCTCTGACTATTTAGTAGGATTAAAGGAGGACCTTACTGCATTTATGCAAAATAAATCTTGAAAATCTTCATATATTTCAGGTAAGAGATTTTCATGTAGAAACTACACAACTTAAAAAGAAAATTTATGTGGCTCAGTGTTAGAGTGCCCCTGGTTCATTCCCCAATATAGCAACTTTCTTATGTATAACTATAATGCACTAATAAATAAAACATTTTTAAAAAGAAAAAAAAATAAATTTTTGCTTTTTTCTCATTAGCTCAGAGACTCGTATATTTGCAACATGGTTTACTTACATCTGCTACCACCTGGATTTCAAATCTTCCCAACAGCCTGGGTTTCATTCTGGCAGATGCTGGCTATGATGTGTGGATGGGGAACAGCAGAGGAAGTACCTGGTCTAGGAAACACCTATACCTAAAAACAAATTCCAAAGAGTTCTGGGCTTTCAGGTACAAATAAAATGAAGATGAAGTAATCTTTCATTTTTTTAAAAAAGTATACTGAATATTTATTTCCTTTTCAGTGAAATACAATAAAATATAGATATGATTCTTAGAACTTTCCTTAGAGCATAAAATTTTATGTAAATTTTAGCTTGAAAATTAGACTGCTTGTTTGATTTTGAACTTTTTTTTTCTCATTTTTCAGCAGTAACCTTTATTTCTTATTTAGTACCTTATTGACCAACCCCATTCTTAGTTTAACTACTTTTCCACTTAATAGCTCATGGGTTTAGTCTAGTCCACCGTATTTATAATATACAAGCATTCTCTTTATAATACTGCCTCTGGTTATATTTCCTTGACTTTGGGTTCCCCACAAAAGTCTCTATCCTGTAGGTACATTTTACCACATATCTTCTTGATGATACCCAACAAGATTTGAAAATTGCCTTTATTCATTTACCCATTCATTATCTCCAAATGTTGATATGACAGAAGAAAGTGCTATTTTTCTTGTTCTTTTTTGTAGTTTTGATGAGATGGCTAAATATAATCTTCCAGCTTCCATTGATTTCAATGTGAAACAAACTGGACAACAGGAAATATTTTATGTAGGCCATTCGCAGGGCACTACTATTGGTATGATAAAAAATATCATTGCTATTTTCACATCAATGACTTGAAATAATCAATAACATATAAACTAATATTAAGTATTCTCTATACAAGAAGTTAAGGAGTTTTATTAGGAGTAAATATTAAAACATTTTTACATTTATTGAGTCTCTCACCCAAAGTGTAATATTCATCTCTGTGAAAATTTTACTTATTCCACTTACATCATAGATAGTTATACAAATGTTCCATATTACTAATTTTATTCAATATAATTGTTTTAGATTTTTAAACTATACTGTTGCAATCTGCTTTATTACAAAATTATCATTGTTAGCAAAAAATATCAGGACAAATGCAAACTTCACAAATCAGCACAGGTTATTTATTCAGGAACAAAGTTTCACACAGGAATAGGGGAAATAGGGATGAAGTGACACTGTGGAATCCACTTTCCTGGTGGAAAATGAGACTGACCCCAAATAATAGAGGGTACTGGGTTTATATAGGTTGTGGGCGATTTAGTGAGCAGGTGAGTCTGGGCACTCAGGAATTTGAGTCCTTGAGTTGGGGTTAGTGGACAGCACCTGGAGAGGAGTTGTCTTGAAAGAGATTAGTGTTTCCTAGAGACTGCCACTTCTAGGTTGGATGAGACACTTTCTCCCTGTCTGTGGCCAGTGTCTGGGAAGGATTTATCTTGGGAGAGAAGAAAGTCATCGTTGTATGGCTTTCCTTTCTATTTCTTTCTTTCAGGCCTCATTATTCTTTTTTTCCCCTTTCATATTCAATAATCATCCTTTATGATTACTTCAAAACTCTAATAACTAGAGCAGTGATTATAAACAGCAGTGATTAATATAATGTCACATGCTCAATTATCAAAAAATGGTAAAGTGAATTAAGAAATGAATTGTTCAGAGGCCATTTTTGAATCCACTATTACTTTTTATGCTGTCATTTTTATATGCCACTAATAACTGCTTCAGAATATCTTGCTAATTTATGTCATATTTCCTTTCAGCTTTCATAACATTTTCTACAATACCAAAGATAGCTGAAAGGATAAAAATATTTTTTGCCTTAGCACCAGCTTTTTCAATTAAACACACAAAATGCCCTCTAATTAAAATGGCACACAAATTAAAGTCAATAATCAAGGTATGTTCTGCCTTTCTTTTGTATTGTAGATAACCCAAAGTGATGATGATTCTGTGCTTCCAAAATAAGAAGTCTTGATTATGTTTGCATAGTCACATGTATGAATTGGGTTTTTGTTTAATTTATATTGGATTTTTGCCTTTGCTTCTATAAAGGAATAGAATATTACTTGTTATTGAAAGAACAATCAAGGCTTGCCGTCGGAGAAAAAATGCCCGTTTATTGAGGCAGCTCTGCATATTTGTAGAGCCGGGGGTGGTTTGACAGTTGAAATAGTTTAACAATTTAATGGTTTTTTGGCAGCTGGCTTGGGGTGCGTTCTAATTGGTGGGTAAGGATCATGTGAACCAGCAGGGCTCACCATTGGACGGCTCATCTTGGGGAATCGGGAAGTTAGTCTTTGGAGCCAGGGAGATTCCCAACAGTTATACGTTTAGATATTTTATTGTGAGAGGAAACCCAGTGGTGAAACAATCTTTAAATCCTGCTTCCTTAATTAAAGAAAGTGTTTTCTTTAATTAAAAATTGTTAAACTACTATAAGATAATTTCTTTGTGTATATAGGAACTCACCATATCATTTTTAATAAATATTGTGGTCTTTCAAATGTGAATAAAGTAAGTTTATTTTACAGAATTTATCTGGCCATGAAGACTTCTTACCTAAAACCTCATTTAACGAATTTGTTGGTTCAAAGTTGTGTCCGTAACAAGTTTTTAATAAGATTTGTTTCAGGACCTGGTATATGATATTTTCATATGATACAAACAATATAAATATGGTGAGAACAAACTGTATTTAAAATATATTTTTGCCAGTTTTGGAAAGGAGCTCAGGGTCCTTATTGTTGAGCCTTTGTGTGTCCTTTCATGATTAATCTATGCATACTAGTAGTTAGAGTCTTAGCCTATCTGATTTGGATAGTATGTAATTAATTTGCATTAGTGTGATGGGATTTTTTTTTTAAATTTTATTTTTGTTTTTTTATTGGTTGTTCAAAACATTACAAAGCTCTTGACATATCATATTTCATACATTAGATTCAAGTGGGTTATGAACTCCCATTTTTACCCCAAATACAGATTGCAGAATCACATCGGTTACACATCCACATTTTCACATAATGCCATATTAGTAACTGTTGTATTCTGCTACCTTTCCTATCCTCTACTATCCCCCCTCCACTCCCCTCCCATTTTCTCTCTCTACCCCATCTACTATAATTCATTTCTCTCCTTTTTTTTCCCCATTCCCCTCACAACCTCTTATATGTAATTTTGTATAACAATGAGGGTCTCCTTCCATTTCCATGCAATTTCCCTTTTCTCTCCCTTTCCCTCCCACCTCATGTCTCTGTTTAATGTTAATCTTTTCCTCTTGCCCTTCCTCCCTGCTCTGTTCTTAGTTGCTCTCATTATATCAAAGAAGATATTTGGCATTTGTTTTTTAGGGATTGGCTAGCTTCACTTAGCATAATCTGCTCTAATGCCATCCATTTCCCTGCAAATTCCATGATTTTGTCATTTTTTAGTGCTGCGTAATACTCCATTGTGTATAAATGCCACATTTTTTTATCCATTCATCTATTGAAGGGCATCTGGGTTGGTTCCACAGTCTAGCTATTGTGAATTGTGCTGCTATGAATATCGATGTGGCAGTATCCCTGTAGTACGCTCTTTTAAGGTCTTCAGGGAATAGTCCGAGAAGGGCAATAGCTGGGTCAAATGGTGGTTCCATTCCCAGCTTTCCCAGGAATCTCCATACTGCTTTCCAAATTGGCCGCACCAATTTGCAGTCACACCAGCAATGTACAAGAGTACCCTTTTCCCCATATCCTCGCCAGCACTTGTTGTTGTTTGACTTCATAATGGCTGCCAGTCTTACTGGAGTGAGATGGTATGTTAGGGTGGTTTTGATTTGCATTTTTCTGACTGCTAGAGATGGTGAGCATTTTTTCATGTACTTGTTGATTGATTGTATGTCCTCCTCTGAGAAGTGTCTGTTCAGGTCTTTGGCCCATTTGTTGATTGGGTTATTTGTTTTCTTATTGTTTAATTTTTTTAGTTCTTTGTATACTCTGGATATTAGGGCTCTATATGAAGTGTGAGGAGTAAAAATTTGTTCCCATGATGTAGACTCCCTATTTACCTCTCTTATTCTTTCTCTTGCTCAGAAAAAACTTTTTAGTTTGAGTAAGTCCCATTTGTTGATTCTAGTTATTAACTCTTGTGCTATGGGTGTCCTATTAAGGAATTTGGAGCCCGACCAAACAATATGTAGATCGGAGCCAACTTTTTCTTCTATCAGACGCAGAGTCTCTGATTTGATATCAAGCTCTTTGATCCATTTTGAGTTAACTTTTGTGCATGGCGAGAGAAAGGGATTCAGTTTCATTTTGTTGCATATGGATTTCCAGTTTTCCCAGCACCATTTGTTGAAGATGCTATCCTTCCTCCATTGCATACTTTTAGCCCCTTTATCAAATATAAGAAAGTTGTAATTTTGTGGATTGGTCTCTGTGTCCTCTATTCTTTACCATTGGTCCACCCGCCTGTTTTGGTACCAGTACCATGCTGTTTTTGTTACTATTGCTATGTAGTATAGTTCGAAACCTGGTATTGCTATACCGCCTGACTCACACTTCCTGCTTAGAATTGCTTTTGCTATTCTGGGTCTTTTGTTTTTCCATATGAATTTCATAATTGCTTTATCTATTTCTACAAGAAATGCCCTTGGGATTTTGATTGGCATTGCATTAAACCTATAGAGAACTTTGGGTAATATTGCCATTTTGATGATGTTAGTTCTGCCTATCCATGAACAGGGTATATTTTTCCATCTTCTAAGGTCTTCTTCTATTTCTCTCTTTAGGGGTCTGTAGTAGTTTTCCTTGTATAGATCTTTCACCTCTTTTGTTAGGTTGATTCCCAAGTATTTTATTTTTTTTGAGGAGATTGTGAATGCGGTGGTTGTCCTCATTTCCATTTCAGAAGATTTGTCGCTGATATACAGGAATGCCTTTGATTTGTGTGTGTTGATTTTATATCCTGCCACTTTGCTGAATTCATTTATTAACTCTAGTAGTTTCTTTGTAGACCTTTTTGGGTCTGTTAGATATAGTATCATATCGTCCACAAATAGTGATAAGTTAAATTCTTCTTTTCCTATTTTTATGCCTTTTATTTCTTTTGTCTGTCTAATTGCTCTGGCTAGTATTTCAAGAACTAAATTGAATAGAAGTGGTGAGAGAGGACATCCCTGTCTTGTTCCAGATTTTAGAGGGAATGCCTTCAGTTTTTCTCCATTCAGAATGATGCTAGCCTGAGGCTTAGCATATATAGTTTTTATGATGTTGAGGTAAGTTCCCGTTATCCCTAGTTTTTCTAGTGTTTTGAACATAAAGGGATGTTGTACTTTGTCGAATGCTTTTTCTGCATCTATTGAGATGATTATGTGGTTCTTATCGTTAAGTCTATGGATGTGGTGAATAACATTTATTGATTTCCGTATATTGAACCAGCCTTGCATCCCAGGGATGAATCCTACTTGATCATGGTGCACAATTTTTTTGGTATGCTTTTGTATTCGATTAGCCAGGATTTTATTCAGGATTTTTGCATCTAAGTTCATTAGAGATATTGGTCTGTAGTTTTCTTTCTTTGAAGTGTCTTTGTCTGGTTTCGGGATCAGGGTGATGTTGGCCTCATAGAATGAATTTGGAAGATCTCCTTCTTTTTCTATTTCTTGAAATAGCTTGAAAAGTATTGGTATTAATTCTTCTTTGAAGGTTTTGTAAAACTCCGCTGTATATCCATCCGGTCCAGGGCTTTTCTTGGTTGGTAGTCTTTTGATGGCTTCTTCTATTTCCTCCTTTGTTATTGGTCTGTTTAAATTGTGTGTATCTTCCTGACTCAATCTGGGCAAATCATATGACTTAAGAAATTTATCGATATCTTCACTATCTTCTATTTTATTGGAATATAGGGTTTCAAAATAATTTCTAATTATCTTCTGTATTTCTGTAGTGTCCATTGTGATATTGCCTTTTTCATCCCATTTGTTAGTAATTTGAGTTCTCTCTCTTCTCTTCGTTAGCATGGCTAAGGGTCTGTCAATCTTATTTATTTTTTCGAAGAACCAACTTTTAGTTTTATCATTTTTTTTTGTTTCAATTTTGTTGATTTCCGCTCTGATTTTAATTATTTCTTGCCTTCTGCTACATTTGCTGTTGTTTTGCTCTTCCTTTTCTAGGGTTTTGAGATGAAGTGTGAGTTCATTTATTTGTTGGTTTTTTCATTTATTGAGGAATGACCTCCAGGCAACGAATTTCCCTCTTAAAACTGCTTTCATTGTGTCCCATAGATTCCGATATGTTGTGTCTGTATTTTCATTTATCTCTAAGAATTTTTTGATTTCCTCCTTTATGTCTTCTGTAACCCATTGATCATTCAGTAACATATTGTTCATTTTCCAGGTGATGCAGGATTTTTCCTTCCTTCTTTTATCATTGATTTCCAGTTTCATTCCATTATGATCAGATATGATGTATGGTATTATCTCCACACCTTTATATTTACTAAGAGTTGCCCTATGGTATAATATATGGTCTATCTTTGAGAAGGATGCATATGCTACTGAGAAGAATGTGTATCCACTTGATGATGGTTGATATATTCTATATATGTCGGTTAAGTGTAGGTTATTGATTGTGTTATTGAGTTCTATAGTTTCTTTATTCAGCTTTTGTCTGGTGGATCTGTCCAATGGAGAGAGTGGTGTATTGAAGTCACCCATAATTATTGTGTTGTGGTCTATTTGACTCTTGAACTTGAGGAGAGTTTGTTTTATGAACGTTGCAGCACCATTGTTTGGTGCATACATATTGATAATTGTTATGTCTTGTTGGTGGATGGTTCCTTTGAATAGTATATAGTGTCCTTCTTTATCCCTTTTGATTAACTTAGGTTTGAAGTTGATTTTATTCGATATGAGTATGGCCACTCCTGCTTGCTTCCGAGGACCATGTGAGTGGTATGATTTTTCCCAACCTTTCATTTTCAACCTGTGTATGTCTTTTCCTATCATATGAGTCTCCTGAAAGCAGCATATTGTTGGATTTGGTTTTTTTAATCCAGGTTACTAGCCTTTGTCTCTTGATTGGTGAATTTAAGCCATTAACGTTTAAGGTTACTATTGATATATTGTTTGTGCTTCCAGTCATGCTTATTTATTTATTTATTTTAATATGGCTCGTTTTTCCTTTTTGGTTATTTTTTTTCTTCCCTTTACTGAGTTACCTCCCACTGTTAGTTTGGGGTGCTGTTTTTCAATTCCTCTTCTTGTAGTGTTTTGCTCAAAATGCCTTGCAGTGCTGGTTTTCTGGCTGCAAATTCTTTTAACTTTTGTTTATCATGAAATATTTTAATTTCATTGTCAAATCTGAAGCTTAATTTTGCTGGATACAGTATTCTTGGTTGGAATCCATTATTTTTCAGCGTTTGAAATACATTGTTCCAGGATCTTCTTGCTTTCAACGTCTGTGATGAAAAATCAGCAGTTAACCTAATTGGTTTACCCCTGAATGTAATCTGCCTTCTTTCTCTCATAGCTTTTAATATTCTCTCCTTGTTCTGTATGTTGGATATCTTCATAATTATGTGTCTTGGAGTTGGTCTATTACAGTTTTGTATGTTTGGGGTACTGTAGGCTTCCAGGATTTGGCAATCCATTCCATCTTTCATATCTGGGAAGTTTTCTAGGATTATTTCATTCAGTAGATTG